CAAGTGAAGGGTCAGATAAGGTGTTTAGCAAACTAGTGAGAGAAGCTGACACATCCAAGGAACACAGTCAGCTTGAATCAAGACTAGCCATGTGCTGCTTTGTAGGGCCTGAGACACCCAGAGTTTCAGATGTGCAGTGTGTTGTGGGTTTTTGATTCAGTTTTTGATACTGACTGATTCTACTTTCCATGTGTGGTAGTCATGCCCAGGGCATCCCAGCTCTTGTGCTCCATTATAAAATGCCTTGCTGTGTGTCTCTGGATAAGAGATGGCAATGGCATTTAGTGACACTTGTGTCTGCAGTGATCACTGTGGTATGGCAAACCAGTTGTGAAAATCCATCTTTGCTGTAACTTCTGTCATAGTAGCCTGTGTAAAACTATCCATACAGCTCTGTGAATCTGCTACATCTCTTGGCTGGTGCACTGTAAGTTGTTACAATAATAATTTTAAATCTTTTAGTAAATGAAAGGTTCCCTTGTTCCCACAGCTGACTGGTTAGAGAGGTGAGTATGATGGAACAGGACACTGCAAAAGGTGCTCTTTCATCTAAATTTGGAGGCTGATGGTGATGTAGGGACCCTAGGAGGGGGTGTATTTATGGAGTGAGCTGGCATGTGTATCATTAGTCTTGTGTACTTACACTTGAGTGAGGATGCAGTCTGCAGCCTTTCCCCTACCCTGGTAGAAGCAGGAGAGCTGCGTATCCTGGAAACAATCTGTGAGGTGGCATTGAGTGAGCAATAGCAGCATTCAACGTACGGTTGGAGCCTTCAAAGAAATAGTCCGTTCCTTTGGAAAAGGTTACTGGGGGGACAAGGGGAATGCAGCAGTACTATGAAGAATCAAAACAAGGCAGATTACCCTTGTAGGATTTTTATTTCCCCCTCCAGTGTAGGCTGTTTCCACAGCCTGCCTTGCATATATTCCTTTAGCCAAAAGGTCTCTTTCCTTTATTTCTGATAAGTGAAGGACCAGACGTCTAGTGGGTCCAAACCAGCTGTGAGTATGCAAGCACGGTGAAGACTAATTTGACTTTAAACGTGAATTAAACTCACTTTCTAGAGATCACTGTACTGCTTTCCTTAGCCTCCATCAGCAGAGCTCACAATGGTGTGAGTGCCCCTGTTTCTGGGTTCTCAGACTGAGAAGCTTCTGCAACGGGAGATGTATAGGGAGGGGACACTTGTCTTGCATCAGTAGACTTGCCACTGGTATTTACTTCTCCCTCATCTCTAATGAGACAACTAAAACCTGTCCTTAAATCCTTAATAATCTCTTCCCCTGCCGAGGCTGTCAGGGCTCTGTCACATGGAGTCTGGAGTGGCCTGGAGCATTCACATCCAGTCTTTAAGTGCATGAGATGAGAGGCTGTTCAGTGCCATTAACACTCAGACCCCCTCTAGCTATATCCTGAATGCCCCACTTTCCCTCTCTGGGCAGATGCCAGTCTGAGTGGACCCAAATGCTGGATCCCATCTGCTTCTAAACCCCCTGGGTTTGGATAATGACTAGTCACTGGTCCTAGCTCTGGGTCTCTCAGGCACACTCCTAGGTGAAATCCCCATGTCGTCTGACACCCTTCTTGGGCAGTGGCACCCCACAGTCCAGTTACCTTAGACCAAGGGTGGTTAACCTGAGCCTGAGAAGGAGCCAGAATTTACCAATGTATATTGCCAAAGAGCCACAGTAATAAGTCAGGTTTCAGAGTAGCAGCCGTGTTAGTCTGTATCCGCAAAAAGAACAGGAGTACTTGTGGCACCTTAGAGACTAACAAATTTATTAGAGCATAAGCTTTCGTGGGCTACAACCCACTTCTTCGGATGCATATAGTCAGTAATAAGTCAGCAGCTCCCTTGCCCCTTTCCCAGCGCCTCCCACCCACCGATTAGCACCTCTCCCCCCACCTCCCGATCAGCTGTTTCCTGCCCTGCAAGGAGTCTGGGGGGAGGGGGAAGGAGCAAGGGCACTGCAGCCTCAGGGAAGTGGGCAGGAAGGGGTGGAATGGGGGTAGGGCCAGTGGCAGAGCCAGGGCTTGAGCAGTGAGCACCCCCCGGCACATTGGAAAGTTGGCGCCTGTAGCTCCAGCCCCGGAGTCTGTGCCTATACAAGGAGCTGCATATTAACTTCTGAAGAGCCGCATGTGGCTCAAGAGCCGCATGTGGCTCCGGAGCCACAGGTTGGCCACCCCTGCCTTAGACCCTGAAACCAGTGCTCCAGCTCTCCTGAGCCCCCGTTGCTTAGACAAATTCCCATAGAGTTCCCACTGGCTCTGGGAGCTCTGGTTTCTCAGTTAACCCCTTTAGGGACAATGTGGCAGGAAATCACAGAACACTGGCTTAGCAAAGGGATTACTTCTAACCGCATGCCATAGAGCTACAGATATTTGGAAAATAAGTCCTGAATGCAGCCCCTAGGGCTGATCTCATCCCTCCCTTCAGTCCTGAGCTTGATCAGCATCCTTAGACTAGGCAGCTCTTCCTGGCTTCCCTCTCCTCCAACCCTGTTCGGACATGAGAAAGTGAACTGACTTGGCTTAGAAAAGCACCCCTGTTTTAAAACTGTCCCTTTTTTGCCCATATGCTTCTAATTCCAGATGTTGGGAACGGGACAGTGGGACACAGCAGATACTGGCTGCTATAAAATGACCTTAATTCCACTGCTTTGTCTAGCACCTGTGGAACCTGCCCTGCCTCCGAGGGGAATGAGTGTTGGATGAGGAGAGTGTGACTTCTAGTCTTCAGTTATCCTGCATCATTATAAACAAACTAGGGAAATTCTACTACTATAAGGTGGGTGCATAACTGGTTGGAAAACCATTCCCAGAGTAGTTACCAGTGGTTCACAATCAAGCTGGAAGGGCATATTGAGTGGGGTCCCACAGGGATCAGTTCTGGGTCTGGTTCTGTTCAATATCTTAATCAGTGATTTAGATAATGGCATAGAGAGTGCACTTATAAAGCATATGCTTTGGAGGATAGGATTAAAATTCAGAATGATCTAGACAAACTGGAGAAATGGTCTGAAGTAAATAGGATGAAATTCAATAAGGACAAATGCAAAGTGCTCCACTTAGAAGGAACAATCAGTTGCACACATGCAAAATGGGAAATGACTGCCTAGGAAGGAGTACTGTGGAAAGGGGTCTGGGGGTCATAGTGGACCACAAGCTAAATATGAGTCAACAGTGTAACACTGTTGCAAAAAAAAGCAAACATCATTCTGGGATGTATTAGTAGGACTGTTGTAAGCAAGACATGAGAAGTAATTCTTCACTCTACTCTGCGCTGATTAGGCCTCAACTGGAGGTCCTATTGTGTCCAGTTCTGGGTGCCACATTTCAGGAAAGATGTGGACAAATTGGAGAAAGTCCAGAGAAGAGCAACAAAAATGATTAAAGGTCTAGAAAACGTGACGTATGAGGGAAGATTGAAAAAACTGGGTTTGTTTAGTCTGGAGAAGGGAAGACTGAGAGGGGACATAAGTTTTCAAGTACATAAAAGGTTGTTACAAGGAGAAGGAAGAAAAATTGTTCTTAACCTCTGAGGATAGGACAAGAAGGAATGGGCTTAAATTGCAGCAAGGGTGGTTTAGGTTGGACATTAGGAAAAACTTCCTAACTGTCAGGGTGGTTAAGTACTGGAATAAATTGCCTAGGGAGGTTGTGGAATCTCCATCATTGGAGATTTTTAAGAGCAGGTTAGACACCTCTGTCAGGAATGGTCTAGATAATACTTAGTCCTGCCATGAGTGCAGAGGACTGGACTAGATGACCTCTCGAGGTCCTCTCCAGTCCTATGATTATTACTAGAAGACAGAATATTTCCTGCCTCCACCTTATTGAGGATTCACTTGTTGACAAAGTATAAATAGACCATAACCTGAGCCAAACTCAACAGACTTTCAATCAAATAATTCCTTAGCCTATCAGGAATTGCAGGATATAAATGGAGATTTTTCTACCCCATGCAGCTGGCAGAGGTAGTTATTGCAGTAAGCCTGTCATGCTTTTTTCTCGTGGATTCAGTGTGTCTCTTCCTCTACCCCCTACCCCCCAAAAGCAGGCCAGAGTGACGACTCTGGTGTGGCTGGCTTGCTGCTGTAAGAGATGATAAAATTCCTGTCTTGGTGACATTAGCTGAGTCTGACAGTTCCAGCCTGACAGGGTCTGGAATCCCGGAACCAAATCCCAGCCTTAAGAGCTGGATCACAAATTCCTGAGATGAGCTCTTCCCCTTCTGGCTTTCTTAAAAATCTACTAAATGGAAGTACCAGGCAGTTAACACTTCCTGCTCCACATGGTGAACTCTACCCTGTAACTGGACATTCTGGGGGTGAAAATCTTCAGGTGCTGGGAGGTAGGGTGACCAGATGTCCTGATTTTATAGGGACAGTCCAGATATGTGGGTCTTTGTCTTATATAGGCGCTTATTACTCCCCCACCCCTGTCCTGATTTTTTCACACTTGCTGTCCGGTCACCCTACTGTGGGGGCTGACCAATAGCTTTATTACTTCTCCTTTGGACTGTAAGGAGTTATTGAGACAGGGTGCAACCCCTTCTTAACACAAATGAATAACATCTGAGTTTTAATTACATATGACTGCAGGGAAGAGGGGAAAATGAAATAGGATCCTACACTGCACTCTAACAGAAACATGAATGAATTACAATCTTTGCTTTTAACCCCTTTTGCTACTAGCGCTAAGCATGAATGATTGCAGATCAACACGATGCAATCTCTAAATGCTGTCTGCTAGGAAAGTATTGGGAGGATATTGTACTACTTAGCAGATCGCCTTTAGAAACTCATGGGAAGGCTAGAAGCCTGGGGTGAAGCCTGAATGGTAGCGGTGGGGAACTGACCTTATAAAATCTCTCTTCTGTTATATGAATCACCCAGAAATGAAGCAGTGGTTTCCCACAAGTGTAGGCGGGTTTAGGAAGCCCAGCCCTGTTAGAGAGCTAGCTACATTCCTGCAGATGTGTGCGGCTAATATAGGCTTTCCCCTTTCTCCAGATGTTTTAGTCTTATCTCAGCCATTTGAGCAAAGAACTCCTCTTCCTTTGAGTGAGGCATCAGTGGGATTAGGGCCGAGGGGACTCTCCATGTGAGTTCTATTCTGTTCCCTGGGATCAGGATGAGGGAGAGGGGTCTGTGTGAAACCTCTTGTCTTTTCATCCCCTGGGAGTGCAGCCTGCCATTAAGTTTTGGCTCATCACTATGGAATTGTTTCACAGTCTTTTCCAGCCTACTGCAGCAGGAATCCTAAAGCAGAAAGTAAGTATCCTGCTCTGATGTTTATGGGGTAGGGATGGAGAAATGGATTACTTGGATGGATGAGGTAAACTGAGTTAGTAGAGCTCTACTAGCACTCCCCTAGCACCTGTGATAAAGACCCTCTGAGAAAATATTCTTCTCTTAAAGGTGCCTTCACTGGGGGGAGGAGTGAAGGGGCTGGGTCCCTGCCTCCCACATCTCTTTACTATTTAGTTGCTTCCCTCAAAGTGGCTGAAAGATTGGTGCTTTTTCACTCCTGATCTTTGCTTGTTCCCAGCTATTTTGTGGCTGTACCACTGCTTTCCCCTTACACCTAGAACTGAGCCTGATGCTAGGAGCCCAATGAAAGCTCCTGAGTGACGGACAAGGAGGCATTACAGTGAGTGCCATATTACCCAGGCTGGTCCCAGGGCATCTTGTGTGTGTGGTTTACAGGCTTAAAACTCAATCAAAAAACCTCTACATCACTGAACTGCAGTGTAAGCTGTGTACTAATGTCTCTGCTTCCCAGAACTTGTGTTCCCTTGTGATGCTTAAACCCCTGTCGAGATGTATGCTGTCAGGTAGGAGTGGCTGACTGGAGAACTTAATTTAATTCTCTGTTAATCCTCCTCCCTTCCTCACTTATCAAGATAATGGCAGTACAAGAAAATGTAGAGAACATATACGTTGGAATCTTGTAACTGCATCCTACACAGAACAAATTACTCAGTCCTCTTGCAGGGGTTAGTGCATAGAAAAGAGCAAAGTCCTGCTAACTGGAGGGGAAAGGCATGATATCCAGCCTTTCCCACTGTCCCTATTTTCTCTCTCCTCAGTTTGTTTTCTCAAAGATGATAGTGAACTTCCTTAGTGAGGCAACACTGGCAAATAGTTCTCTATTTTCCATGCAGTTTCAGACAACACACCTTTCCAAGCTTGTGGGACAGCAGCAATAATGCAGAATTGATTTTTCTAATTTTTCAGCATGTTTGTGCACTTAGAACGAGTAGCTGCTTGCTTTGTGTGAACATAATGCTTCTGAAAGGTGGCAGGCTCACCATACTAGAAACTGAATTTCTTAGCCATGGAATTGGTGCAATAGTAGGGCAAGCCTCTACATGCCAGCCTATCAACATAGCCAAACATGGTCCTGGTGACTATCTCTAGAGGTGAGAGTCCTTGGTCCCCCAGACTGTTAATTAAGGATGCAGTTGTGGTGGCTTGTGATGGATACCAATTTGTCAGGAATTAAGACCACATACTAACTTCACACAAACCTCTAAGCAGCTAACTGCTTTTGCTCATTATGGAACTTCATTTATTTATCTCAAAATTGGACTTGAAATTGTGTGGGGTTTTTTTGACTGAGCCAGCAGATACCTTCTTTATATAATCTGACCTCCCTGCTTTCCTTGTCTTCACTTAAAAACAAAACAAACTGTTCTCTTCCAGTAACATCTGCCTGTGGCTTCCTTTTAGGTGAACCATGATTCCTGTCACTGAACTGCGTTATTTTGCTGATACCCAGCCAGCATACCGCATCCTGAAACCATGGTGGGATGTCTTCACGGACTACATTTCCATAGTCATGCTGATGATTGCAGTGTTTGGAGGGACACTTCAGGTCACCCAGGACAAAATGATCTGCTTGCCCTGCAAATGGGTTACCAAAGACTCCTGCAATGACTCTTTCAGAGGTTGGACAGCTGCAACTCCAGACCCCACTTACTATAACTCTAGTCTTGTCCCATCTCAGGACACTGGGCCTACAGGGATCCAATATGACCTAGACCGGCACCAGTATAACTATGTGGATGCAGTGTGCTATGAGAATCGCCTTCACTGGTTTGCCAAGTATTTCCCTTACCTGGTGCTGCTACACACACTGATCTTCTTGGCTTGCAGCAATTTCTGGTTCAAATTCCCAAGGACCAGCTCCAAGCTGGAGCATTTTGTATCTATTCTGCTGAAGTGTTTTGACTCTCCGTGGACAACACGAGCACTGTCTGAGACCGTGGTGGAGGAGAGTGATCCCAAGCCTGCCTTTGGGAAGATGAATGGCTCCATGGAGAAGAAATCTTCCACAATCAGTGAGGATGTGGAAGCCACAGTCCCCATGCTACAGAGAACAAAGTCGCGGATTGAGCAAGGGATTGTCGATCGCTCTGAGACAGGCGTCTTGGACAAGAAAGAAGGGGAACAGGCCAAAGCGCTTTTTGAGAAAGTTAAAAAGTTCCGCACGCACGTGGAGGAGGGAGACATAGTCTATCGCCTCTACATGAGACAAACCATCATCAAGGTGATCAAATTCATCTTGATCATCTGCTACACTGTCTACTATGTCAACAACATCAGGTTTGACATTGACTGCAAGGTGGACATCGAGAGCCTGACCGGTTATCGCATGTACCGCTGTGCTCACCCTCTTGCCACTCTCTTCAAAATCCTAGCCTCTTTCTACATTAGCCTGGTGATCTTCTATGGACTGATCTGCATGTACACACTCTGGTGGATGCTGAGGCGATCCCTCAAAAAATACTCCTTTGAGTCCATCCGGGAGGAGAGCAGCTATAGTGACATCCCTGACGTCAAGAACGACTTTGCTTTCATGCTGCACCTGATCGACCAGTACGACCCCCTCTACTCCAAGCGATTCGCTGTCTTTCTGTCTGAAGTGAGTGAGAACAAGCTGCGGCAGCTGAACCTCAACAATGAGTGGACCTTGGAGAAGCTGCGGCAGAGGATCACCAAGAACTCCCAGGACAAGCTGGAGCTGCATCTCTTCATGCTGAGTGGCATCCCCGACACCGTCTTTGACCTTATCGAGTTGGAGGTGTTGAAGCTGGAGCTCATCCCCGATGTTACTATCCCGCCAAGCATTGCCCAGCTCACCAGCCTGAAGGAGCTGTGGCTCTACCACACGGCTGCCAAGATCGAGGCCCCAGCCCTTGCCTTCCTGAGGGAGAACCTGAAATCTTTGCACATTAAGTTCACAGACATCAAGGAAATCCCTCTGTGGATTTATAGCCTAAAGACCTTGGAGGAGCTCCACTTGACAGGGAACCTGAGTGCAGAGAACAACCGTTACATTGTGATTGACGGACTGAGGGAACTGAAGCGGCTCAAGGTACTTCGGCTGAAGAGCAACCTCACCAAGCTGCCGCAGGTGGTGACGGACGTTGGTGTGCACCTCCAGAAGCTCTCCATCAACAACGAGGGTACCAAGCTCATTGTCCTCAACAGCCTTAAGAAGATGGTCAACCTGACAGAGCTGGAGCTGATCCGCTGTGACCTGGAACGCATCCCACACTCTATCTTCAGCCTCCACAACCTCCAAGAGATCGACCTGAAGGACAATAACCTCAAGACCATTGAGGAGATCATCAGCTTCCAGCACCTACACCGTCTCACTTGCCTTAAGTTGTGGTACAACCATATAGCCTACATCCCCGTGCAGATCGGCAACCTCACCAACTTGGAGCGCCTTTACCTTAACCGCAACAAGATAGAGAAGATACCCACCCAGCTTTTCTATTGCCGGAAGCTGCGGTACTTGGATCTCAGCCACAATAACTTGACTTCTATACCGGCAGACATTGGGCTACTGCAGAACCTGCAGAACCTAGCTGTGACAGCCAACAGGGTAAGTGAGGAGGGAGTGTGGCGGAGATGCATGGATTGGATAAAGCTGCATTCTAAGATTCCTGCTGCCTGCTATGAAGTGTATTAGAAGCATTTAACTGCTACAGTGGGGTGTGCAATATCTTGGCACTACAATTTATACTTAACTTTGTTCCTTGTCTGTACAACTTTCTTAGGATGAAACTTTGCAAAAACAAACCCAAATCTTCAATTAAATTCTTTTTGGCTAATGGGTAGATTGCAAACATAGCTGTTTTGGCTGCTCTTCAGTAGTTTCTTAGACTAGAGAACTGAGAAATTACACTTAAGAATGCAGCACTATATACTTAAACCATTTGCAATATAAACTGAGGCCATTAGCCACCCATGTGTGTCTGCATAGGACTGCTGTCAGGGTGTTTGGTGCTATAAGTGTACACAATGCTTTACAGAACACCTTGAGACAGGACCTGCCTTGAAGAGTTCACAATCTAATATCAAATACTTCCTCCATGAGAAGCTTGCTAAGGAGATCCGCATATAGGAGGCTTTGTGAAAAGTGGCTTGTCACACAGCACTGGGCTACCTAGTGCCCAGGAAGTGACTGTTGCTAGCATAGGGGGCAACATGAATCCAGGTGGAAAGCGGAGAGTGGGAGGACAATGCAAAAGGAAGAGTTAATGTGAAAGAGCAGCATAGGAAACAAGGGGATGTGGGATGTAACTAGCTGCCTATATTTTGCAGAAGAAAATAGGTAAAGGTGGAGCTGTGCAGAGAATTAAAGGTGTGGTATGCTACAAAGACCTTGATCCACTTCTTATGTAATTCTCCAATATTAATCCCATAAGAATGTCCTAGAAATGTAGGTAACTGTTACTCATTAGTTGCTCACTGGGCAGGTAACAGCATTTTGGAAACTGGTATCTACATGATCTTAAAAAAAAAAAAACGGCAGTAGACATGCAGCAGTTTCTTTGTAAATTACAAACCCAGTAGATGCTGTTTTATACATGTTGGATTATGGCTGCTCCTGTCCATGCAGCACGCTGTCTAGAACCACCTGTTGACAAGTAGTCGGCCTCTGAAGGAGTCTTTCTAGTGTCTTGTACAATTAGAGACACTTATTCTGTGAGGCCTTTTTCTAACTACCACTTTAAAAGACCTTTTGTGAGTAGTACCAGAAGCAAACTCTGAGCTGAAATATCTGGGTTGGTGCACTGTCCTTAGCCTATATAGTGAGCTAAATCAGGCCAGGTCTACACTACAAACTTACATCAGTATAACTACATCGCTCAGGGGGTCGGGGCAAGCCCCCGTATCCCAGCGGGGTGAACCTCTGCACCCTGGCAGGAGCACCCGGCGGAGCAGGGGGTGGTGGTGGTGCACACATTTTTACGGGAGATGCTCTGGCCAGGAGCTATGTGCCCTGCCCCCCATCGCAAGGCCAGCGGGAGAGGCAGTCAGATCGCTCCTACTCTTCTGCCCCCGTCATCGCCCACCTACCTACGCCACTACTGTACCAGCAGGTCCCCGGTATGTGTCGTTTCGGTATCCGTCACCCTTTTCAAGAACACAACCCCGATGTATATCTGGGACCCGCTGTAGTGCTATCTACACCAGGGCTTAGGTCAGTATATGTTGATAGGGGGGCTTTTCCTGTCAACATAGTTAATCCACCTCCGCAAGAGGCGGTAGCTATGCTGACAGGAGAAGCTCTCTCATCAGCATAGTAGCATCTTCACTGAAGCCCTACAGTGGCACTGCAGCGTTTTAAGATTTGACCTGCCCTTGGGCCTTTAACGTGACTAATCACTGACTGATACAAGTGCACATGTACCTTCAGACTACAGCAAATGTAAGGTCCTCTCCACATGTAAATCAGGCTCTGGTTTAACACAGTTGCAGTTTTTCTTTGTAACTTACAAGCAGAGAAGGTATTGCAATATTGGATCAGGCAGTTACTTTGGTCCTAATGAGCTTCCATTTAATTGCTTAGGAGCAGCAAAATGTGGAAGAGATGACCCGATTGTGACATGGTGCCTGATGTTGCTATGACATACTTTCACTTCAATAACTCCTCCCAGTGGATTGTCCTGCAGTTCTGAACCTGGGTTACATAAAATACTGTAAATTGCTTATAAAGTATGTTGAACTAAAGGCTGCATTTGGCCTATTTATATTTGAAGATCCACTGATGCCTCATAGAAACTAAAAATACTCTGGTTAGAATTCTACTTGTTTCTTTCTGTCCACAAAACCCAGGAGGCTTTGTTGCTAGAGACATGAGAACAAAATATTTTGCTGCTTTAAAAGTCCATCTGATTACTTATTCCCACCGGAAGTCTCAAAGAAGTCTGGTAACATAATTGCACAAAGAGCAACCAGCCATGACAAGGGATTATGAATTCAGGTGGAAATATGCAGCAAAATCCTGCCTCTTATGAGGATACCCATATTTTTCAGTCTGCAATAAGGCCCCTAATGCTTTAGATACATCTTGACAAGTCGATACTGTCTAAGTGATGTTACCAAAAAACTTCTTCAGTATTGCTGCCTTTTATAGGGAAAACTCTAGAGGCAAAACAACTTAACAATTGTATTATAAATTGTCAAGGAGGCTTCTAAAATTCTAACCAGCTTTTGGTTGTTTTTCAGTAGCCACCTTGCTTCTAAAAGTGAAGTGGCAGCCCAGGAGCCAGAGAAGTGGTGCCCATTCTGCATTAACTTTGATCTATAACCTTCAGAAAAATTAAGCTAAACAGCTAGTGTTTAAGAAGCCATTCTGTCTGTTTAAACCACCCTTAACACCCGATTAAGCTGTGGCTAACCTACCATCCCTGGCATTGGGGAAGGCATGTGGTATTGTATAGCCAGTCACATTTCAGCAATAGGTTTAAAACTAAAATCATTTTCCTCCCTGAGTAGGAGGAGTCTTCAATGTAGCATCCGTCATCTGGCTCTTGCTGGATGCCGCACTAAGCAAAGTGAAGGAAGCTTTTAAGGCTCTATTTTAAGGTGCAGAACTATACAGGTTTTGAACAGTACCCTTTTTTTGGCAATTGTTCAACAGTCCAGGTTACACAGGGTTAAGACAAGACGTGCATCCTCTGCAAGCTGTGGGTGGAGTTTCTCTTCTGGATGAAAAGAAGCTTGAGGCAGCTCTATTTTTGCAATAAAATGTGGAACCACCCATCTTGTTCTTCCAAAGACACTAATGCACCATGAAGGCTAGAAGCAGTATTCTCTTTCCTGCCTAGCCCCCTGTCTCCTGGAGATCCAGTGAAACAGCTAATCAGCTCTTGTTCCCTGCAGAGATGTAGGCAAGGCCACAATTACCCTTGGGCTCAGGAAGCCTGGTTATTTACAGTCAGCAGCAGCAGAAAATGCAAGTGCTGATAGACTGGCATTTCCTGACCCTAAGAATTCTATCTCAAAGCTCCCCTGCTAGCCCAGCAGCCCTAGTAAATAGCTACTTCTGGAGCTGGCTAGTACAACCCAGTCTTTCTGGGAATCAGGCCCTGTTGTAACACACAACTTTCTTCTTTGATAAAGTCCACTCCTGCCACTTGAAAACAAGTGATTGGTCTTATTAGTTATATGACTACCAGGCTGAATTTTGCAGCTTGTGCAGAACGACGGTTCCAAATAACGATGGCTGAATAAAGCTGCTGTTTGTTGCTGTTGCTGTTCCACTGGCTCTAGCTTATTCAGAACTTTGGCTGTTTGTTAAAGACTCTCTGTAGCCAATGGCTGCTCCAGGCAGATCTTGTGCGCATAATTAAAGTTAAAATAGGGTGCAATTATGTTTTAAACAAAGGATAGGCTGAGACTTTCACTGAGTTAAGGAGAAGGTCATGAAGTGATGCCTGAATCTATTGAACCCAACCCCATAAGCTTTTATATTTGTATTGCTGGAAGAAGGCATGGCTGGCAAAAAAATAAAATAAACGAAATAAAAATTTCAACTATAGTGTTGTTGTCAGACTATGATACCATGACAGTCTGATTGGACTAGTAATCTCCCTGTCTGACACTTGGCTATTGGTGCATGGGGCGGGGGGAGCCAATGGTGCTGGGTATTTAATTTCTCTCGGTGCATTTTGACACTGTCAAAAAATTGAGCATCGTGGTAGTGCCTAGAAGGTCCCTGATCAGGGACCCATTGTGTTCAGTGCCGCCCGTGCGCACAATGAAAGGATCGTGCCTGCCCATGAGCTTACTTTCTAAGTAAAATGAAGGAAGGGGGGATACAACAGATTGGGAAGCACAAAAATCTAGCATTCGAATAGACACTAGAACATGTATACGACTGGAAACCTGCATGGCTTCTCCCCCTCCTTCCCCAGCACACTGGATCAAAAATGGGCTGTACTGGTCAAGATCAAATATTACACTGAATTCCCATCATCCATTTCTTTTAATGGCTCGATATCCACTTAAATGCTCACAAACCACTAGCCTGCTGTTCTCATTAGTAAATCACTCCTAGGAACACAACTCACTATATCAGATTTGCCCCCATTCCATTTAGTCAAGTTCCTCACTTCCATCCAGGGACAATACTTGATGCTTCAGAGGAAAACAAAAACGCTGTCTCCCTGTTTCTGCCAGGCTTTTAAGGGGAGGAGATGTTTGTTTGCATGCCATCCTCAGGATTAGAGCAGGGCAGCTCAAGGAAGAAGCAGAATGTTGCCTTCCACAATAGCAATGGGATTGGAGTACTAATGCTTCCATGCCCTGAGGGAGCAGATGTTTGTAGGAGAAGCTCACTGGCCACCTGAATTATTGTTTGGACCTATGTGCTACACAGAAGAATAAGACCTGGTCTCTGCCTCAGTTACAATGCAAATGATCTCTATTCTTGCAGGGTAGGGGCTACAATGAGAGAGAGGCTAGGAGGAGGACCCTAGCAATGTGTGTCCATATAGTATACTTGGTGCCTTTTTGCTGGTCTCTGATCCTGCAGATAGAAAATGAGCGGTGGGGAGGGAGCCTCCCATGTATTACAACTGTCCAAATAACATGGGTGTAAGGCAGGGCTCCCCTGGGTTACTGCAGGCTGTTTACTTTGGAGCAGCTAGGAAGAGAAGAGGTCATTTACATTTCCTTCTGTGGAGGAAAGAACTGGCAGGCTCAAACTCTACCTCAGCTGTTTCAAGGTGAAAGTTGGGTCAGTCTTAGGAACAGACAGAGCTGTGCCAATTAAGAAGCCCTGGTGGCAGGGAACGGGGGAAAGCTGGGAGAGCAAGAGTCCTCCATTTGAGAGAGAGAAATAATACATTGGTCTCTAATTCTGTAGGAGAACTACAGAGTGATGAGCTGTTCAAATACTTGGCATGATCAGTAATTGCAGTAGTTAGGGGTACCATGGAAAGCACTGAGATATGGCTGCAAAACTGGATTATAACCAGGGTATGGAGGGATGTGTGTGCTGCAGATCAGAACTGAACCATGTAGGGAATAGCCTGACTTGTGTTGGGAATAGTGGTTTTTTTGTGTTTGATTTATTGTTTGGCAGGTGGCTAATCACTGAACTTTAAAAATGGAATCTCCCTGTCATTTTACTTTTATTATTCTAGCACCCTGCGGCCCTGATCAGGATCAGAGCCTTACGGTGCTAGGTGCCATACAAACAGGGAAGGGCTGTCAATGTGAAAAGCTTAAACTCCAAGTGGGAGAACAGATAATGGATGGATTCTGGGAGGGGACAAAGGAAACACCGATGGGAACACATGGCTGTACAGACTAGATGTGAGTGGGTTTCGGATATTCCCTGCTTCTGTCAGTAATCTCTATTTGGCTCTGGGCTAGCCATTTTCATGTGGCAGTTGACTGTAAATAGTACGGTAAAAGAAGATCTGCGTGAGGACAAGGTAGTAGTTTTACTGTATCTTAGGGAAAGCGTTCCATGCATAAAGGTCAGCCTAGAAGAAAGCAGAAATGCATTTAAGGGAGAAATTAGTATTTGGAGGCTGGTGCTTTTGTCTGACTACATCTCGTCTGCTTGCCTTGCTTTAGGTGAGCACATGTCACATTTGTATCTTTCTGATTTCTCTTTTCAGATTGAGAGTCTCCCACCTGAGCTCTTCCAGTGCAGGAAGCTGCGGACCTTGAACCTGGGAAACAATGTGCTGCAATCACTGCCATCTCGGGTGGGCGAGCTGACCAACCTGTCCCAGATAGAGCTGCGGGGGAACCGCCTGGAGTGCCTGCCGGTGGAGCTGGGGGAGTGTCCTCTGCTGAAACGCAGTGGGCTGGTGGTGGAGGAGGACCTGTTCAACACCCTGCCCCTGGAGGTCAAGGAGCGGCTGTGGAGGGCAGACAAAGAGCAAGCTTGAGCTGCTGACAAGAAGGCAGGGAAACCCCTGATCAACTAGACAGGAAACAAAAGGCCATTCCATTCCAATTCCATCTCCCAACCACCCCAGCCAACACCAGACTAGCTAAAGAGATCCTTGAATAACCAACACGACTGGGAACAAGGCTGCTTGCTCCCTTGGATGCAGGATGGGGGAGGTTCGGGGTCAGGGTGAGGACCAAGGCAGAGTGGGTGGCTCCTCTACAACAGACAGCGGGAACAAAAGAGGTGCTGCTGTTCTGCAAGACGAGAAGTGGGATGATGCCAAAGCTGCCATGGAGTTAACCAGAACCGCTGGTAGAGCCAACTTAGTTCAGGGTAACTGCCTCTGAATATAGGGGAGAGAAATGTGCTGATCCAGTTACACTGCTGCATCGCCCTAGATAGGGCTCTTGCATGCATCAGGGACTGAGGATGTCTTAGAGTCAAAGGACAAAAGTCCAGGGAGCCTCTTTAAACTCCAACTCTACTTGGCTGTGACACTTGTATAGTTCCATGCTACTTGCTGATGTAATCAGTTGGGGCTTCTCTTTGAGGGCAGGGGGGATGGCACAGCTTTTTTATTTATTAATTTTATTTTTTATTTTTAAAGATGCTGGCATTTTTTGGTAATTTTACCTCAAATATCAACTTGGATTCAGGACTGGTTTTTTTGTTTAATTTTTTTTTTTAACCCAGTTTCCATCTGCTGACTTGAGGTTGCACAGTCTTTTCAGATTCCAATCCTTTGTGCTGACTAGTAGATCACATGGCCTGCTTCCCTGTCTGGTATTGCTGGAGGTATTGCCTAAATTAGCTGTTCCAGAACATTACCTAGATTGGGCTGTCAGTAGGCTGAATTCCAGTTATGTTTAGTAAATGGGACAGGAAGGATGCAGCTCAATGCATGAGATAAGACTTGGGTGGAAAGCAGTAAGACTGTTTCTGCCAGAAGCACTGAGGTACTTCAAGACTTTGAATTTTAAAAAGTGTTTTAACTACTTTTTAAACTTCTTTTTCCCCTCAGCATTTTGTCTGGGGCGTTAAAAATACAAACACACTATTAGCCAGTGTTAAATATAACTCAAAATAGGGGAGATGCTGCCTGTAGCAGAGAGGAATGTTCAACAAGCTTCTTCCCTACCCTTGCTGTGGATAATTTTTTTGAGGTTTTGCCAGCATCTTTTATCAATACAATCTACAAAGCTGCTTGTTTTGTTCCAGTCCGTTCAGCTCTTGATTTTAGCAGCTGTCATTCTTGCTGCTCCTCTTGGCCTACATGATTGAACTTGGTGCTTGGGATGGTAACCCTGTTCTTCTCTCTGCCCCACTGTTAGGGAAGAGTATAAGAATCCTCCCTGGACTGGGCTTCTCCAGCCCCCTCGGAGGGGAGGCCCCATAGTGAGAGGAGAGGAATCTGTGTTGAAACAAGGCTAACTTGTGACTGTTCAACAAATCCCCTTCTGCATTTGCAGAGGCAGACATAGGTTAGTGATAGCTACTCATAATCATGTCCTCAAACCAGGGTGGTTAAAGTGTGGCTTACATTTCCACCAGTCACCCCAAAGCCACCTTGTTAGAAGGGGAAGCCTATGGACCCTACAGCTCCAGTATGCAGTGCTCCACCTTGCCCAGCTGTTTGGATCCTCCAAGACTGGAGCACTGCCTGCTGGAATATGTAGTATTTGCAGGTATTACCTACATACTAAAAGGAGCGGGGGGGGGGGGGGGGGGGGGTGCACCCTGGGTTCCTGGCAAGCTGCCACTGAAGCCCTGAGTTGGGCAAAGCATAGACACCCTCTGTCTCAGATATTCTGGGCAATAAGGAACACTACAGCTTATCTTTCTGCATCAGATGTAATATACAAGATACGCACACTAGAAATGCTGAAACAATCTGTTAACTAGGCTCTGGATTTGTTGATGCTCAGCTGTTTAAATAAAGCTACATTGAAAGCTAGGAAAACTTAGTTTGTTTATAGAAATGCTTCTAAGAAGGGTATAAAGTCTGCCTCCCTTAGTTCATTCATCATGAAAAGTCAAACAATCCAAAGGGATAACACAATCAACTCTTGTTTGCATGTTTTCCCAGCAATGACTCTTTCCAGAGAAAAAGGTGCTGTAAAAACTCTTCTGGATGACAGGTTCACATTTCTAACAGGATTAGTGTGTGTTGAAATTACAACAGAGATGGGGCTATTGGTGAAAGGAAGAGTTTTAGCTATTTCAAAATGCACTATATCAGAGATCAAACTGGGATTTAGAAGTGTGATGCTGATAATTTGCAGAGTGGGATTTACCAATCATGCTAGGGTTTTGTATTAACGTGGAGGGCAGCGAACCTGCTGTGGGGACATGAGACTGCTTACTCAGAAAATTGATCTGTTTCAAGATACAGTACAAATGCTGCTTTGAACTAACTCTCCATGGTCAGAGTAAGGACCTTTCAGATGGGGGAGGGAGTCTGTCTTTCCTACTCTGTCAGATGAAATCTGGTGTTTTGCAATTCTTCTTTACTGAGCCCTGAACCAGTTCTGGGACTGTATGATTAGGACCCATCTACCCTACAGCAGTCAGGGTACCTGGTTACAAAACAACTTACTAGTTGTAGCTTACACAGACCTAACTGGTCCTTGGACTATGCAGAGTTATAACATTGCTTATGGAAAGTGAGCTAAGGTTCTGCACCTGGCTCGCCTGACTCTTCTGGTTGTAGTGAAGGTGGGCTCTTAGTTATATAAAACTGCATTTAATTTAGGTCCTGAAGTGTTTGTATAAATAGTCATACTGAACTCCAGAAAGTATGCTGTAAAGTGTAGAAATCTGCATAGTAATATGCAGGCCTCCTGAACTGCTGTATAGCTCATCCTTAGGACAAACCACCATCCTGCTAAAGAGGGGAGACTTCCTCTTTTTAGAGTTTTATTTTCTACTGTTTGAAAAATAAGTATCTGCCTATGTTTGATCCAGCTCCACAAAGCAAATGTAAGACCAGTATTGATCATGCATGGAAACATGAGCTGCTTGCTGCTCTTTAAATATTTCAACCAGGATTGTTACAAGAGGTCTAGATAGCTCCCCCCATGGGACAAAATCAGAATGAATAAAGAGTTTTGGAAAACTTGTCATAATGGAAACCAAGGTTATACTGAAATGCCTCACCATGAATTGAACTGGCTGAGATGCACTTTTCCTCTTCCTTCAAGCAGATGTTGGACCTACACTAGCAGATCTCAGAGGCATGAGGTGGAGAAAGCTTGAGAATTTTAAGTATAGGGTTAAAACCTGAGCTGCTGTGCACCCACGGTTGCTCAATACTTCTCCAGAACTTGGCCCATAGGACAAGTTCTCATTTCCAGTACAGTTCCCTGGTCACTCAACCCTTGAGTGACATAGCTAACACACACTTTCCCAATTATAGGCACGTCAATCAATGCTCCATTCTTTTTTTTTTTTTTTAAAGTGGGTTGTCAGGTAGAAGCTGAGTTGGGCTGAGACTGACCTGTGTACTATCCTAGGAAACCTGTTCAGGTTAAACAGACCAGTGAGGGTCTGGTTGGTGTCTCTTCTTCCTGGCAGTCTTCTCAAAGGATTCTAATAGTAATAACCAGGATCATCTGTGTTAGCTGCTAAACTAAAAACAGAACTTGAATTAAAGCCAAATGTCTCCTAGCAGCACTACTGAGTTGAACTATTTATCCCAGGTACACTTGTGTCACAATAGGAACGACAGTTCTAAGCTTTTTGGTAAACTGAATTCTAGCTGTTTTGGTAAGTGGCCTGATGTTTAAGTTGCAACTAATTAATTTGAACCAACCAAGGTAGCAGAAGCTGAATCTGTTAAATGTGTTAAATCTTGCTGTGCTTTGAAACAATGCACTGGAATGTCAGTTGTGGGGTTTTTTTTGTTTTTTTTTTTCTTCTGCTGAACTTACCTATTGGTCCACTGTTAACCCACAGGTGGAACTAAGTTACTGTGCCACTCTAAACTGTTTCATGGGTGTTGCAGGTATTCTTCATTATTTTTATTTCTACTTTGTATTAACTACTTTGTCACTCCCCTAGAGCATCCTACCTCAGAACCTTTTTCTCCGCCACTTGTTCTGTGCTCACTTTCATGTCTTAATTTTAACAAAACTAAACTCTTGATGTTTATCAGCATGGATATCATTTTAAGGTCACTTTCAGTCTCTGAACCACACTTAGGTCCTCAGTTTTTGTTCTAAGAGATGAGAGTAGGAAACTGGAAGACATATTCATGTTTTTCAGCAGATGAGGTATGGGGAAAATGGGCTCCAAAATCTTATTGGATTGAACAGTGGTGAGATGTTAAGCTGTTTCCATTTCATGCAATTTATTATTTAAGCCTTTTCCATTTCAGCCACTTCCTTTTGTGAAAGGGACTTGAGTGAATAAATATTTTGAAACCTCATTTAGTCTCTGATTTCCATTCTCTTCCAGCTCTTCTGAGGTAGGATGGATCTTTTGAATAAGTGGGGTGCCTGCTTTAGAGATGCAGTAGGGTGATTACTCTAGTGATGAGCTGACTCATACTAGTGTCATTCATGTGGCCAGCTGTTCCTGTTGGCTCTGTCCTTATCCAACAATGATCTTTAAAATGTTGGTATGATTTCTATTCTCTTCACCGAAGAACAAAATGGTCATATGTCTTAAATTGTAACATCACCTGTGTTGAGATGTTACTCAGCATTTGCAAGAGGTTGAAAACTTCCAGTACTAACATAGGTTTTAATCTTATTTAGCAGTACTGTTCTGAAACCTTTGGCTACACACTGGATGCTGCAATCTTTCTGGCAACCATCCAGTTTAAAAAAAACAAAGCTAGATCTGACAAAAGAAAATGGGTTCTGTCTATCCCATCTGCATGGAGTTGAGCACCAATCTGGCAAGTAATATCAGGGGGAAGTGCACATTCTCTCCCCACTTTCTCCTGCAGTAGCTGGAGACTAATATATATTGCTTTGAAACACTTCTGAAATCTGACCCATTAACTTACTGTTTAAAAATAGCAGGTAGCTATGTATAGCCCTAGCTGAAAGTGGGGTCTAGCAAGTCAAGATGGAGTAAAGCTGCCTGGCAAGAAAAGCTGAATGTGGGATTTCTAGAAATCCCACATTCTCCCCTGTTCTGCTCTTTCAGGAAGTCCTGTGAACAAATGGGGAGCTGTGCTATTTGCTCGTCTGGAGCAAACTAGTGTGGGCTGTGTGAAAAGAACTGACAGGGCCTCACATTAAGAGTGTCTGTACAGCTGATATGTCCCCTTCCTCAGGGCATAACTCATGGCTTAAACACTTCACATGGCTTATAAAAATACTCTCATAGTTGTGGCTTGGTGTGTCCCCCCCACCCTGGTATGACACTTCAGAATCGTGAAACTGAGTTAAGCCTTGTATGTTGGATTATGTTTAGGCAGGTAACAGCACCTCAAGTGCTGAAAGCTGCTATGCTTTCTCTGAAAGACTTGTAAGACAGAACACTTTAACAAAATAAAAATTTTAACTTTTTATTTCCATTTTCCCTTTATTTTTGTTCCTCTAAAGTACTTTGGCTAATACAGCATTTAATGTTCCAAGATATGGCTCCTTGGGGAAAGATGTTCATGACTCCTGCTATTGTTTAGGAGTGATTGTTCCCTACTTCCCCCTGCAGTAGATGAGCCCTTGTGGGTTGGGGGACTCAGTCCAGGAAGAGGAAAAAGAAAATCTAAGAGCAGACTTCACATGACTATACAATGAATGGTTGGAGTGGGATGACTTCGCAGTCCTTTACATACTTTCCCTTTGTTTCTAAATGATAGACTGAAAGGAATATAAATAGCTGGATCACTGATAGTGCAGTGAATGTAGAATGGGTGAGTGCAATCTATTAGTGGCGTCCTATAGCGCTGACTTGAATTTTTTAGGGAGAGGATTTCTAAAAGAACTTTGTTCTTTTCCCATTGATTTCATTCCCTATCCCTTTCAGCAGAAAGGTCTGCAGAACAAATAAAAAACTTCTGCCAGTCACCATCAAAATATTGCTCCCAGCCAATTAACTGTATACCTCAGCATGCCTCATATCTACCTGCCTAAACTGATACACACACAGGTGCTGGAACTGGGGGTGCTGCTGCACTCCCTGGCTTGAAGTGGTTTCCATTATATACAGGGTTTACAGTTTGGTTCAATGGCTCTCCGCATACCCTGTATAAAAATTGTTCCAGCACTACTGGATACAATCTTCCACTCTTTCTGATGGCTTCAAAAGCAATAGACTTCACTTTAACAGCTGAACATATTTTGGAGTACATTACAGCTAGACAATAAATTCACTCCATATCTTTCTGAGAGTTAAAGTGGGTACTGGGTGTGTGTAATAAATATCCCCTTCTGTTAGGTTTGTAAAAGTAATGGGTTTTGCCCTGTTGCATTTTTACAAGCAAGGGAAATTGTTGACTAGCATGCTACTGGCCCCATTTCAGGGGCGGATGTACATAGTTTGGGAAATGTGTTGGAATGAAAACTCGTCTTATTCAGCAGCATGGCTGGGTTTTAACCAAATGCTTTTAGTAGCAGAACTGAGCTGAGAAAGGGAAAAACAAAGATGGCTCTTTGTCATATAAAGCTCAATGGGGCTTAAGCACCCCTTTGGCAGGGATTATCTTTATTCACTAGGTCTCTACAACTCTGAATGATGGGGGGGGGGGGGGGGGG